AAGATACTGTCGTGGAGTGAACAGCCAACCCTACACAATGGACGAGTCGTGATGCTGACTTCCCTTAGCGTGCACGTCACATTTCAAACTTAAACCCGCCCGGAAGGGTATATAGTCCCTTATATTAATATATACCTTGATCTGGTGAAAATTCATTCTAAGACCCTTCTTAGTCGCTTTGAGAAATCTCATTTTCAAACTTGCAACTGGTGTTTAATCAGAAAACATGTAAGCCTGTTTACTCTCTTGGGCATGAATACAGGGTTCTTTCCTAGAGACGCCAAGCGTAGTTTGAGCGGCATTCTACCAGCCTGATCCACAACGTGTCAAGAACGTGTATACAGTCTATGAATAAAATTGGCGCATTCTAGAACAGTTCTATCTTTTGTGAAATTCCTAAGCTTGGGTAAGTTGATTATAGTTTACGAGTACCATATATAAATGTCTTTTTAAAGTTGGCCACGTGCATCTTTCCATGTGCAGTACTGAATTATGTGCTCTACAAAACCCACACCATTTGTAAGATCTTTAATACCCTACAAGTAATTATTCTCTGACTAGAAAACCGAAGTTTTGTGCCTCTTAGCAGAAATATTGGGAATCTGTCCATCTTTCAACATTCTAACTGTCGTCAGAGAGCTTTCTGAGTTTGTGTGAGTAATAAGTGTAATCGTGTGTTAACCTGGCTATGATAGTATACTATCATATAACCTGGGCGCTACCTTTATAGTAGTGAGGGGGGTGTCCAGCCAAGTGTGCCTAGGAATCTATTATATATTTTGTAGTGCTATTTACAAAGCTTGAGTTGCCCTACTCCTGAAATAAGTTGGGGTGAGCGTATATTAAAGTTGATATACTATTATATTCTGGCCACAGGGGATATCTCCTAGAGATTAGACAGACAATACGAGTCAACGACTCAACATTATTATTTCAGAGTGCTGTTGGTTCTTAAGGAGAAATCCTTAAATCAGGCACGTGACAGGAGCAGTCATGTGACAGATACGAGAGTTGTACGTGAAAGAGAATGGGACCGTCTATCGTAGTTAGCAGTGTATTACTTGTAGCAACTCTCCGCTGTGGAAATGGAACAATTTATTTACCTAAAGTTATCACAATGTAGGCCGTTTCCAAAACTGACCTAGGCCTCTTCGGTTGACCAAGCCTAAAATGAATACATGAAAATGTCTTGGGAAATGAATATGCCACATGACGTGAAAGATCTGTTACTGTACCATATCATGTTCCACAGGAACAGGGATTCTAAACAGAAGCAATGCAACGAAAGTATAAATTTGTCAGCGATAATATATTATAGAATGTAATAAATCAGATTTATGTGTACAGCATAAACAACCCTAAACTATGTGGCATAGGTGGATTCTCTTTCTCTCTCTCTCTCTCTCTCTCTCTCTCTCTCTCTCTCTCTCTCTCTCTCTCTCTCTCTCTCTCTCTCTCTCTCTCTCTCTCTCTCTCTCTCCTGACATGTTTTATCCCGCCAGGACATCACACTGAGCGATAAACATCCGGTGCCACCATTCGAATGAGGATCACCCATGGAGAGGTCCAAGAAACCCCGTTTAACCGTGAGGTTATATTAGTGCCCCCGGCACAAGCCAGGCTGGGGCTTCAAAATAACGAAAAATTGCATCCCACATGGGAACGACGAATAGTCTCTCTCCTCTTCCTCGTCTCTCTCTTTTATCTATCCACCTTCCCATGCATCCAACCGTCTGTCTGTCTGTCGGCCTCTCTCTCTCTCTCCACATGGGAACGACGAATAGTCTCTCTCCTCTTCCTCGTCTCTCTCTTATATCTATCCACCTTCACATGCATCCAACCGTCTGTCTGTCTGTCGGCCTCTCTCTCTCTCCACATGGGGACGACGAATAATCTCTCTCCTCTCCCTCGTCTCTCTCTTATATCTATCCACCCTCCCATCCATCTAACCGACTGTCTGTCTGTCTGTTTGTCTATCAGCCTCTCTCAAGAACATTCAGAAACAGTTATCAAACAAGGTCCTTCTCAGAGCAATACTGATCGGGATAACGTAATCATGGCAGTGCTGGGGCTTGAACTTAAATGCCAGGCTTGGCAGGCACCGGCGCTAACCCCAATCCACTGCGAGTCATGACACACACACAAGAATGATATATATCTTTACGAAATAAAACACCACTGTTCATTACCATTATAGGGACACTAATAAGTTAAATGTAATTATGACCACAAGTAACAATCTCTGTCTCTCTCTCCCTCTCTTCTCTCTCTCTTTGTGTATGTGTGTGTCTATCTGTCTATCTATCTCTCTCTCTCTCTCTCTCTCTCTCTCTGTCTCTGTATGTCTCTCTCCCTGTGTTTGTTTCTCTCCCTGTGTTTGTGTGTGTCTCTCTCTCTCTCTGTCTCTTTCTGAACGTCCCTCTGTGTCTGTGTGTGTCTCTCTCTTTCTCTCTTTATGTATGTATGTCTCCCTGTGTGTATGTGTGTGTCTTTCTCTCTGTCTGTATGTATGTGTCTCTTTATGTATGTGTATGTCTCCCTGTGTGTGTATCTCTCTCTGTGTCAGTGTGTATGTGTCTGTGTGTGCGTTTTCCTGTCTTTATTTGCGTCTGTGTGTCTCTCTCCCTGAATGTGTCTGCCTGTGTGTGCGTGTGTTTCCCTCTGTGTCTGTGTGTGTCTCTGTGTGTGTCTCTCTGTATGTCTCTCGCTCTGTGTATTGCTCTGTGTGTGTATATGTTGGTCCCTCGCTGTGTATTCATGTGTGTGGCTCTCTCTCTTCTCCCTGTGTATATTTATGTGTGTTTCTCTGTATGTATCTCTCTGTGTGTCTCTGTGTGTGGCTCTCTCTATCTGTATGTGTGTCTCTCTCTGTGTCTGTATATGTGTCTCTCTCTCTATGTATCTCTATGTATCTCTCTCTATGTATCTCTCTCTATGTATCTCTCTCTCTATGTATCTCTTTCTATGTGTGTCTGTGTTTATGTGTCTCTGTGAATGTCTCTCTCTCTCTGTGTCTCTGTCTCTGTGTCTCTCTCTCTCTCTTGTCTCTATGTCTCTACGTGTACGTGTCTGTGTGTTTCTGTGTGTGTCTCTCTATATTTGTATGTGTTTGTCTGTCCCTGTCTCTGGGTGTGTCTGTGTGTGTGCCTCTGTCAGTGTCTCTGTGTGTGTCTGTCTGTGAATGTGTGTCTCGCTTTCTATCTTTTTGTGTGTGTTTCGCTCTGCCCCTGTGTGTGTCTCTCTCTCTCTCTCTCTCTTCTTTCTGTGTGTGACTCTCTTTGTGTGTGCATGTGTCTCTCAGTGTGTGTATGTGTGTGTATGTCTCTCTCTTTCGCACCACCCTGCTACTTTCAACGTTCCTTAAAAACCTCTAGAGGCAAAAACTAAAATGTATGTTTAACCTCTGCATAGAGATTATTTGTAACCTTTCGATAAAATCATTTTTCATTAAGCATACTTAATGCCTTTATCAAGAAGCGGATTATTTGTCTGAAACAAAATATGTGTTGAAAGAAACGCCTTTTTTTTTTTTTCACTAATTATTTTTTCTGCTAGTTTGCTGACATCTTTTCCATCAAATTTTTTTTTTCTCAGATGCAGCAGTCGAGTCAATAGCGATATCGAATCATCAAGCCATAAAAGATCTTCCTGCGGCATTGTTCACAGCGCAGATAGTCTGATGAGGATGTAAAACGACCGTTAGCCGAGCAGACATGAGATATTGCTGAGGTTTCAGCTCCGGACAGACATCACAGTTCGAGGAAGGCTAGTAGCTAATGCAAATCACTAGCCGATAATTCGGGAAAGTTGTCTTCAGTAATAACTGACATGGATCTCTGCTAGAGTCTACTTGTAATTGTGTTCTGGTAACTGGGATTGTGAATGTGGACAAGCAAATCATGGCTGAGACAGACGGGGAATAAAATAGGCATTTTAGGTTTTTCGTGACTTTGAATGCTGACGAAACAGAAGAATCTTCGCAATGATATATACTGTTAAAATGTCGTGTGGTTATTTATCGTGCAGCTGATGGAGACTGTGGAAAGCTTAAGAGGGGAGAACAATATCCCACCTCAAGGTACACAAGATAAGTGTTGCATTTATAAGTATGATAATTCGAAACTACCTTCAACATTTCGTACACCGTTGTTGAAATTCTCAGATTAAAATCTGAGGGATGTTTGGTCGTGTCAGTCTGCAGCCAAACTACCTATAACATTCAATTCTCTGCTGTACCTGTGCATCTAAACAGAGATTCGGTGTGAAAATGTCGAACTAAACTTGATATAATACATATTAATTAAGCCCCCCAACGGTTCAGACTAACATCTATGAACAGTTTCAGGTTGGAAATTTCAAATCAAAAATGCTTCAATGTTTAATGCAAATCTGATCAAATGGTAGCTGTCTGAAGGTTAGGATTAAACATTTTGAATTACACTTGTGTTGAATTTGATTTTCACGCCAATAAACAGCTCAGACTAAGATATGTTGACAGTTTCAGAGTGGATATGTCCCGCATTAACATTTCATACCAGGCTTTTCAATAGCTTAAATGAGGCTTCAGTGTAACAATTTTTAACAAAACTTGTTCCAAAGTCGATTGCTCACCACACGCCAGTCAGTTTTCGCCACAACTCTAAGTAACCGGTAATGTACTTTCCAGTTTGTTAGTCTATCATTTGTTCAAATGCGAGCTAAAACGCGTAGAGGCGGTGAATGTAATCTCAAAATACAACAAAAAGAATTTTAATGGTGGAAAAAAGATAACATACAATATAAGTTACAGGTTTCTTCTATTCATATCCGTCAGGTTGAAAAGATGGCCACTTAGTTTAAACAAGTTTGTTTTGGTACTATATCAACCAGCCACCATAAACGGTCTGAATTCACTATGAAGACTTATCCCCAGTCTATCTTAACAACTGTATCCATATCAAGAACACGGGTATCCATGACTTCGTGAGATTCTGTTTATATTGTAAAGTTACCCAAACAATATGACTAGAGTAACAGCAGAAGATCTTTTAGTCATCGTTAACCTCACTGTACCAGAAGAAGAACACACATGGGACGACAGAGAAACCACCCCCTTGCTCTACGACATCTCGTTCAACAACACCGTTGGGCCATCTGGGCAAGCGTTCTTGTGCAATTCGAGCCTTAACGGTCTTTCTGAACTGAACTTCTACCTAAACGGAGTGAGTACGATGGCTGTGATAGCCCTGGGAATCATCGGTAACTCCTTGGCTATCATTGTTCTAACCAGACGAACGATGTACACTTCTACCAACATCTTCCTGACGGCTCTTGCCATCTGGGACACTATGGTTCTGCTGGTTTGTCTTCTGCTCATCAGCCTCATCGAGCTCTTCCGGCCGTTCAGGGAGAAAGTATTCCCGTATGTGGTCGTCTACGCATATCCGGTAGCCCTAGCAGCGCAGACAGCGACAGTATGGCTGACAGTTTCGTTCACTGTAGAGCGCTATATCGCAGTCTGTCATCCGCTACGATCCGCCAGCATGTGTACAACACCGCGAGCTCGGATAGTCGTCCTTGTTATATCCGCCATCTCCATCCTCTACAACGTTCCTCGCTGGTTTGAATACGTCATTGTCAGATTTACTGACATCCACAGCCAGACGTGTATATTTCCAGGAAAAACTCCACTAGCCAACGATTCCATTTACCATAAAATTTACTTTGGATGGCTCTATTTCCTTGTCATGTGCTTCATTCCCCTGTGCTCGCTTGCGATACTAAACCTATTTCTCATCGTAGCTGTCAGGCGATCCCGGCAACAACGGAAAGATATGAACGTCCGGCAGTCCCGTGAGAATAATGTAACTATCATGCTAGTGTCAGTCGTAATGGTTTTCATCATCTGCCAAGTGCCCGCTCTTGTATACAACATGGCTTACGCTATAGACATGCAAAAGGTTTCCAATTCTGTAGGCTGGATCGTTCTTAGTAACACTAGAAACTTTCTCGTCACGCTCAACAGTGCTATCAATTTCATACTTTACTGCGCCCTGGGTCAAAAGTTCCGGCGAACGTTTGTGCGTACGCTTTGTCCGTGCCTCATCAGACGAATGCCAGGAATATTCCAGTCCTTTAGCTTTAGCACCCAGAGGCAAAGCATGCACCTCAAATCTACCGCCAACGGAAGCGTCTACGCCAGCGTCAATTACAAGCAGTGTCGAACTGAGATCATCCACCCCGACCAAGATGTCAACCTGGATATGAAAATACTAAGGTCCAAACACTCGCCAACAGATTCCAATGGGTCCGCTGAAGCCACTGATGCCTACCATTCTAACGTGTCTCAACGAAGTAATCTGAAGCTTTTAACCACTACATATAAAAGCAAAGGTAACTGAGCTCAAGTACAGCTAACTAACTGGACGACAAACATTCAGACTGTGATAACAATTAAGCTAGAAAACATTCTTAGTTCCAAGTACAGTAAACTAAATGGGCGACAAGCGTTCAGACTGTGATATACAACATGTTAGAGAACAACCAAGTACAGTTAACTAAATGGGAGGTAAACATTCAGACTGTGAAAAAAACAAGGTAAACATTCAGACTTTTAAAAACAACAAAGTACAGTTAACTAGTCGGCGTCTGTGGATTAGGCGTTGCGAACGGCGCTACGTAATGCCGGGTTCGATCCCAGCTGCGGGCCTTGCGCCTTCCAATTCCAATTCCTTTTAAGAAAAAAATCAAAAACTTAACCACGCTCAACCTGCTGCTAGCTAGCCAAAGCTACTAACAATCTCCGGCTATATTTGTGGTCTTGTTTATTTGCGCCACTTTCGTGGCTAAAGTTCTGGTATTTGCGCCACTTTCGCGGCTAAAGTTCTGGTATTTGCACTGTCTCTGGGCCTAATGCTTCTTTCCTCCAAGTCAGACCGCTCATTCCCTATCCTGCTGTCAACTGTTTTATTCTTACCCATTTCATTTCTGATGTTTCCTTCTTGGTTTCAGCTTCTTCTGATTTGGCCAGGCGTATATCGCAGCTTAAACAAAACACAACAGCCAAATAATGCTAGGGTTAGTTTCTGCAACGCCCTGTAAAGGATACACAACTAACAGTTTTCTAATTGGATGATAAATATTCACAGTAAGATTAGGGGGGGGGGGGGGGGGGAGTTAAACAGAATAATGTCAAATGTATGGTTTTGCAAACCTCTTGACTTGCTAAAGGACTGAATTAGGAAATTATGTTTCGCTAAAAAGTGTGTCACCAACACGAACAGTTTGGAAAGCTCTGCTTTAGAGGGATGTACAGTGTAGCATGTTATATGTGTATTTAATTTGAAAGGATTCATGTTTTGTGTTTCATGTTATATGTCGCTTAACTCTAAGACACTGCATCGAAAGAGATACAGCAAGATAACTCAAAATATATTCATCCCCATGTGGGATGCAATTTTTCGTTATTTGAAGCCCCACCCTGGCTTTTGCCGGGGACCCTGAATTTAGCTGGGATACAATTGTGCCATAACGGCTGAGAGGGGTTTCTGGGACCTCTCCAGGGGTGATCCTCATCCGCATGGTGGCACTTTGTGTTACCGGGTGTTTATCGCTTGTGTGATGTCCTGGTGGGGTACAACAAGCAAGCAAGCAGCAAGATCAGTCAGTCAATAAAACTGTGCAAGGGAGCCACCGTGATGTAGCGGTTAGACGCTCCCCTGCGGATGTGAAAGTATTGGGTTCGGGTCCTGTCAGAGCCTGCCTTTTGTTCAAAAATTATTGTGGTTCCCAGGTCGACCCAACCTTAAATGGGTACCAGGTAAAGTCCCGGGAAGTAAAGGCGGCGGGCGTAACGCTGATCACATCGCCCACTAAGTGCCGATTGGTCTATAAAATTTAGGTCTAGCTTTTTATGCCCTATATTCCTGAAGGTACCGAACAATCGTCCTTTACTTTAATTTAATGTTCAATATCGATGTAACATTGTAGTAATGCGCCAAACGATATACAGCGAAACATACCAAACAATATAACTTGTATAACGTATTGTTCATGCTTGCAGTATTTAAAATCACTATGGGTAAACACTGATTTGTCCTCCTAATTTGTGTGTTGTTTTGTTTAATTTTTCGTCAGAAGCCAAAATATGATTGTACAAGTCCACTCCAAAACTTGTTATTTTCAGGGAAAACCCGAAAATTATTACATACTGGAATACTCACCATGAATTGGAGTAACTGACAAGGTACGAAAATAACGAGCAAGAAGCCTTACAAAAGAAGCTGTGGGTTACAGAATAAATTGTAACCATAGCAGAAAACAAATGCAAACAACAACATGTTCTCAACAAATTTGTTCCTATGTAACGCTGTGTACCCAAAAAAGCCCAATAATACCAGACTGATTGCAAGAAACCCCTTAGAGACTTTTAAATAGATAAAGAACTACATTTGCGGAACTAGAACATACTTTATTGAGTATCGCATAACCTTCGGGGGTCTAATTTCCACGTTTTAGGCATGTAAAGCTCGTCCCATTTGTTTATCCTTCAATCGGTAATCGAACTATAGAAAGCGTGTTAAGTAGATACAGGCATACTCTAAACAGAGTGGCAAGTATCGCTTTAGAGTTCCCTGGTAGTAAGCATTCTTTGGACATTTTCTCCGGGCTATGCACGAGGGTTGGGAAATTAACAGGCAGGCAGACTGGCTAGTTCTGCATCAAATAGGGTGGATTTAAGCATGGCAAGCTAATTGTGGTTATTAAAAACCATTTGAGGAAAATGTGAACAGTGTAAAGATACGAAAAGATCATTAATAACTGAAGAGAATCGTAAGCAAGATGGACATATAATTTAACGGCTACTGGCACGATCGGTATTGGAACTTTTCGCTGTCTGCTGAAGATGAGGACAGACTGCTGAAAAGAATGTCCCGACTGCTGTGCAGTCGTGTAGGTTTTTTGGTAAACTTTGAATAGTTCGATGGATGATGCAGTCAAAAACTAATTTCGAGTGACTTTACTCTTGAATATATACTTTTACTTATTTTTTTTTTTTTCGGCTATGGTAACATTCGAGCAATGGTCTTTTTTTTTAAAATAAATTTACCACCGTAAAATTCAACCATACAACGCCCCAAAAAGAAAGCTAGCTAGCCACAAGGCTCTGCGACTCCCAAATATATCGTTAGTGTCACACAAAAGTGAAGTTAGTAAAGGACCCTTTATTGTGCCAAGGTGCATAGGGTCATTCAGCTAGAGATGCATTGCGCATATAATCCAAAACGCATATTTTATAGACCAATCGACATTTGGTGGGGTTCAGAATTGAGGTTTGAACAACAGATCAACATCATGGCACACGGATAGTAACCCATAAGTGCTTCGTACTTCTTCTAACTCAATTCTGAGTCCGAAGAAGCTCAACATAGTGCACAGGCTCTGTAGCATCGGCGAAGATCCTGAAATACTTTGGGTAGATTTTTAACTTCCAATTTTGCCAGGGCAGCACAGTTAGGCTACTCTTTTTGACTTCCAACTGCCAAGGGATATTTTACATGCGTAACAATGCATGCAGGCGTCCAAACCCATTACCCAGAGACCAGGGGGAATTACTAGAAGTCTTACTCCTAACCCCTTACCGGGGATTGAACACGGAACCTCTTGCACTTGAGGCGGGCACCACGCCTCAAGACCACGCAGCCCCCTACATTCGGTGGGCAATGTGGTGAACATCATGCCGGTCGTTTTTACTTCCGAGAACATTACCTGGTACCCATTATGGGCTCGAATGAAATGGCAGCCATTGTTTGTATAGGCCCAAAAAAAATGGGGGGGGGGGGTGGGATCAGCCTTGATTCGGATTCTAAACCATTACCCCAAAAAAATTAGTTTCGTATCATTTACATGACTCTGCAGAACCAACCCCAGCATTTCTTGACTCCTTGTGATATCACTAGGCATTTTGCGTTTAGTAGTTTACCCTGGCAATGAACGGTCGGCTCTTGATACCACTGTTAAAACCTACACAATGCGGTCTGAAGCTAAACGGCCCGCAGCTGCGATCGAACCCGGCACCGCGGAATTATGAAGCGCGTTTTTATAGCGCTTAAGCCACAAAAGGACATCATTACTCTAACAGTGGCTCTCAATCTTCCTAATGCCGCGACCCTTTAATACAGTTCCCTCATGTTGTGACGACACCCAAACAATTATTTATTTCATAACTTCAATGACATGTGTTTTTCGATTGTCTCAGGCAACCCCTGTAAAGGGGTCGTTCGACCCAAAAAAAAAGGGGTCGCCACCGGCAGGTTGAGAACCGCTGCTCTAACAGATCATAATCGAGGTTGGATTGCAAGCAATTACTATTACTGCCATTAAAAAGTTAGTTGCGTATCCTTTACAGGACGTTGCAGAACCAACCCTAGCATTTATTGGCTGTTGCGGTTTTTTTTAAGCAAAATTTACGTCCAATAATTTGCATTACTGCCATTACTGTCTGTATTTTTCAAATGTTGCGGTGTAGGCATTGGGGTTTTGCGCCTGAGGATTTAAGGCCACATGGTAGGATCGGGGTCGACAGCCACGGTAGGATATTGTGCCGTTTAGGGTTGTATTCTCCCCCCCCCCCCCCCCCCCCCGATAGAAAAAAATTCGAAACCGTACAAAGGATTTGAACATGGGTCACCCGCATGAGAACCCAGCGTTCTTAGCTGGTCGCTCCTCAAATGCCATAAAACTGAAGATATATAAACCATTTACGAAGCTGCGTTCACAACCCCAAAGCCACAAACGCCGACTTTTGCCTGCTCTGGAGACACACACACGCACACAAGCATGAAAGACACTGGTCCTGGAGACTGATGTCTCCTAATGAGGAGATCGCCTCGCTAAAGAGAATACAACGTATAGACATATGTAGGAGGTAGTACAATTAACAGTTTAATCAATGTCTTTCATTTGTTACATGTGTATACTGGAACCTGCAGGATAAACACTCATATTCTGTGTGTTAAGACATGCTTTTATTAGTATTATCAGCATTATTATTATCATCATCATTATTATTATTGTTGTTATTAAAATTATTAATTCCATGTTCTTGCATTTAGTCCATCTGGCGGCGTATTCAAACGACTGACGAGTAGCAGCAATCTTTGGCAATGTAGTGAGATGAGACGCATACGATAACATGAGACACTATCGCCGAGCAGTGGTTCTCAGCCTTGGCGCCGTTAGGTGATTTCAAGGGGACGTCAAGCAATTTTGAAACTGAGTATTTTTAAAACACTATTTATACAATAGTCGACTTTGTGGCTTTGCATTGGTTTCGACAGTGGGATCAGGAAGCCGACTGTCCAGAGGCAATGGCAAACTGCTGGACGTAAATTTGCCTAGA